CAACAAGCCAGGCGTATATGGCCGCCTCAGCTCCGCCCGCGCCTTCATCGAGCCGTACTTGGCAAACTCGTCCCCCACGGCTACCCCTGCACCTACGACCACCAAGGTAGGAACCCCTGCACCTACGACCACCAAGGCAGGAACCCCTGCACCTACCACTACGAAGCGGACCACCAAGAGACCTACGACCAAGAAACCCACGACCACTCGTCGTCCCAAGTTTGTCAATGATGGGTTTGGGGATGACGAAGAGACCAACTAAACGCCTGTGGTGAAGCAGTTGTAGGCTTTGTGTCGTGTTGTAAACTAGTACTAGTACTAGTACTACTATGTCGTTTCTAGTCGTTATACAACGAAGTATGTACTAGTAGTACACTACTGTAGTATGTCCTTTATACTTTCGCAGCGTTGGGATGTTTAATGACAGTTAATACAGTAGTACCAGGTACTAGTCTACTTGACTCCGACATTCCCTGCACCTACCACTACGAAGCGGACCACCAAGAGACCTACGACCAAGAAACCCACGACCACTCGCCGTCCCAAGTTTGCCAACGATGGGTTTGGGGATGACGAAGAGACCAACTAAACCCACAGTTGTACGCTTTGTTTGTGTCGTGAGAATACAATAACTAGTAATGTGTACTAGTACCAGACTTTTCAGTACTTTGAAGTGAGGGCATGATGGTACTGGTTGTAACCACACGTTAACTAAAGGCGGAGTAGAAATCTTGGGCAGTAGGTCGGGTAATAGGGTACCTGTCCATTCGCTGTCAACGGGGAACTATCAACGTTACTACAGTATTTGTCGGATACAAGTGGAGACTTAATCCTAGATTATTTGCCTTTGAAAATAGTTTAATCTAGTGATCGCCAGTCAATGTATATGCCTCGCCCTTTGAACGCGTCTACCGGTAGCTAGTCTACCGTAGTCAACTTGTTCATCAGAACCACCAATACGATCGGGTATTCGCGCGTGATAAAATTTATAGTGGTCACAGGGGTTCTTCGCCTTGGGCTCGTGTAATAGACTGGTTTTAGTTGCACTGTCAGTACAAGTACTACTATGTAGTAGGTGCTACTAGGATGGACTGCAAAAATGTGCAATACTTGGGGTATAAATACCCAAAGTATTGAAAG